GGCCGAACTCCTTGCGGCAGGTGTCGTCGGCCAGATTGGACTCACCGAGCTTCGGAACGCCCTTGGTGGCCGAGGGTGCGATCTCGTGGGCGAGCTCCAGCATGACCACTCGGACCCTCTCTGGAGCTCCCCGGAGGCCACGAGCCGTGTGACGGGTGCGCCGACATTGGCTTGTGCCCACTGGGGTCTCAGTTGGAGCTCCTTGTGGGGCCGCGAAGCGTGTGGTGAGTGTGCCGAAATAGGCGAGGCGACTCCAGGTGGCCTTGTCCACTGGGGCCTCCAGTGGAGCTCCGCACGGAGGCGAGGGGTGTGCCGGAGTGGGCATGCGAAGAGCAGAGGCGCGGAAACCAAGGGAAACGGGGGAACGGGGAGGTTTTGAAGGTAGAGCGGGGCTCTGCGGATTCCAAGCGAGGTCCAAGACCCAGCACAGGACGGTTGGAGAAAGAACGCTGGAACGACTCCAGAGTGGTGTTGCAGGGCCATGTTGGCGTGCCGCAGTCGAGAGCCCCCAAACGGTGCGGTGACTGCACCGTGTGGTGGATCAGTGGGGATTCGGGGTGACCGCACTTTTTTGGGACCCGGGTCGTTCTCCGAAGAGCCTGGGCGACTGGGGCCTCGAAGGTCCCGAGACCATGCGGCGACGGACCGTGCGCTGAGTTCGTTTGGGATTTCGAGGTCTCCGCACGGTCTGTCACCGCACCGTCTGACGACCCCCAGCAAGGGGGCCCAGAAGAAGCCTGGCCGTCCCAGCTTTTGTTCAGCTCTGCGCACCAGGGGGAGGGGGAGGGGGAGGGATGAGGAGGAGGAGGAGGAGGAGGAGGAGAGGAGGAGGAGGAGGAAGGAGGAGGAGGAGGAGCAGAGAGGATTGAGGAGGAAGGAGGAGAAGAAGGAGGAGGAGAGAGAGGACGAGGTGAAGGGATAGGGGGGGGGACAATGGTGGAGGAGGAGAGGAGGAGCGGAGGAGGATGGGAGGGCGGAGGAGAACGGAGGACGGAGAGAGGAGCAGGAGGGAGGAATGAGGAGAGGAGGGAAACCGACCGTGCACAAGGCCCCTGGGCGCAATCCACCTCGGCTCGCGAGGGCCTCGGTCGCCGCGGCTGGCCCAGCTGCGAGGAGCCAGGAACCAGGAAGTAAGGAAAGAGGAGGGATGAGAGGAGGGGAGGAGGAGGAAGCAGGGGGGAGAGGATGGGGAGGGGAAAAGGGGGGGGGGCCGCGTAGGGGGAGGGAGAGGGGGGCGACGAGGAGTCGAGGAGGAGCAAGCCACTTCGGAGGGAGGGTGCCGGCAGGCGGTCGGCGGCGCGCAGGACAGCGAGCGGCGCGCTCGAGGCGCGGGCGAGGCGAGGCGTGGGCGCCAGGGGCGCCGCGCGTCGTGTCGGGGCCTGCGGGTGTGCCTTCGGGGGGCGCTTCCCGGGATCCTCCCTCCTCCCTCCTCCCTCCTCCCTCCTCCCTCCTTCCTCTCCCTCCTCCCTCCCTCCCTCCTTCCTCCTCCCTCCTCCTCCCGATCCTCCCGTCCACACACCCTCTCCCTCCCTCCTCCTAGCCCTCCGTCCTCCTCCTTCCCCTCCTCCGCCTCCTCCTCCTCCTCCTCCTCCTCCTCCTCCTCCACGGCCGTCGCGTCGCCCTCCCGAGGGGAGGGCCTCTCCCCAGAATCTGGCGCTGCCGCTGCTGCACCGCGGGCGTCTCCGCGCGGAGGCGGGCCCCGGGGCCCTCGCAGACTACGGGGCGCCCCGTGTCCCGGAGCGGTCGTCCGGGCGCGCGCTCGGGGGGGTGCGCCTTCCCTGGGGGGGTCTGCAGAGCCCGTCCTCTCCGGCTCCGAGGGGTTCTCTTGCCTCGGGGCGCGGTTCTGCAGCCGTGCCCCGCCGAGGGTGTCCTGGGGGGTGCCCGGATCGCCCCGCACGGCCGCCAGAGACTCGAAGCCTGAGCCGAAAGCCAGACCAGGGAGGGAGCACGCGAGATTTTTTTTAGGGATTGCGAACAATTCACGTGGCATTCGTGCTGCTTCTCGCTCGCCGCGTCGGAATTTCGCATCGACAGCAGTCCACGTAAAAAAGAGGAGGGAGCACGCGAGAGCGCGAGAGTGGCCCTTCGCCGGAGAGGTCTCTGCTGCGAGGCGTTCGGGGGGGCGCTGGGGGTGGGGGGGGGCAGGCGAAAGCGCGCAGGCCACTGCTGTCGCACCAGAGCAGGCCGCGGTCCACAGCGCCCCCTGCTCCTTCGCCTTCTCCGAGCGGCGAACGCGTCTGTCTGCGCGCCCAAGCACTTGGATCGGGCCTGTTCCTCCTCAGGGGGAATGTGCAAAAATAGTCAAACAATAGTCTGGGGACGATGTTTGGATCATTTCTTTTGAGCATTTGTGGAGTATCTGTGGGGGTATTTTATTGCTTTCGTCCAAGATCCCCCTGCTGGGGGACAGGCCCGACCTGACCCACGTCCTTTGATCGGGAGCCGGTGCCGCCCCCCATCCCCAGAACCAGAGCACCGCTCAGCGGTGACTGGCCCCGGGGCGGAGGGGGTGCGCCGGCTGGGGCCTCCTCCTCCTGCTGCTCCTCCTCCTCGGAAGCCAGCTGTGGCAGCGTGGGCAGCACTCGTAGGCCCTTCCGCTCCTCCTCCTCCTCCTCCTCCTCCTCCTCCTCCTCCTCCTCCTCCTCCTCTCGTTTGCGCAGCCGGGAGGCGGAGAGGCCCGACAGCCGGGCCGAGAGGGGTAGGACAGAGAGAGAGATGGGAGAGACTGGGAGAGTCCGCGGTGGAGGGCGGGATCGGGTTGCGGCCGTGAGCTGCCTTCCCCTCCAGGAGTCCTAGGCACGGTCGACGGACTCCCCTGAGATCCTGGCGCTGCCTTTTTTCCAACCATCCTGTGGTGTTGGGACCTCGTTTTGAAGAGACGGTCCCCGCGTTCCTTTCCTCTTCTCCTCTTCTCCTCCTCCTCCCCCTCCTCCCCTCCCTCCTCCTTCTTCCATGCGTTTCACCCACCTAGCACCGCGCTTCGTGGCCCCATAGGGAGCTCCATCGAAGCCCCCAATGGGACCGCCCGCAAGCGTCCTCCACACACAATTTGGCGTTTTCGCCCGCCCAATACTACGCTTCGTGGCCCCATAGGAAGCTCCACCGAAGCCCCCAGTGGGACCGCCTGCATGTGTCCCCCACGCCGACTTTGGCATTTTCACCTACCTAGTACAGCCTTTCGTGGCCCCATAGGGAGCTCTACAGAAGCCCCCGCCCGCCTGCGTCCCCACACTTAATTTGGCATTGTCACCCACCCCACCCACCTTACTGCATCGAGCACGCAGACAGCGCTTCGCGTGGCAGGCCCCATAGGGACCCCCCGAAGACCCAGGGGACCAGCCCGCATGCGTCCCCCACGCCATTCTAGCATTTTTCACACCTCCAGTACGGCGTGTTCGTGGCCCCCATAGGGAGCTCACCGAACCCCCCTGCGGGAAACCGCCCGCATGTGTTGCATCTACTTACACCAACTAATTTGGCCATTCTCTGGCCCCCCAACACAGCGCTTCGTGGCCCCATAGGGAGCTCCACTGGAGCCCCCAGTGGGGCCGCCCGCGTGCGTCCACCATGCCCAATCTGGCATTTCCACCCACCCAGTACAGCGATTCGTGGCCCCATAGGGAGCTCCACCGAAGCCCCCAGTGGGACCGCCCGCATGCGCCCCCTACGCCAATTTTAGTATTTTCACCCACCTAGTACAGCGCATCGTGGCCCCATAGGGAGGAGCCCCACCGAAGCCCCAGTGGGAGCGTCCGCATGCGTCCCCCGCACCCGATTTGGCATTGTCACCCACCCAGCACAGTGCTCCGTGACCCCATAGGGAGCTCCACCGAAGCCCTCAATGGGACCGCCCGCATGCGTCCATCATGCCCAATTTGGTATTTTCGCCCGCCCAATACAGCTCTTCGTGGCCCCATAGGGAGCTCCACCGAAACCCCCAGTGGGACCGCCCGCATGCGCCCCCCACACCCAATTTGGCATTTTCACCCCCCCATAGGGAGCTCCACCGAACCCCCCCATGGGACCGCCCGCGTGCGCCCCCCACGCCCATTTTGGTATTTTTACCCACCCAATGCAGCGCTTCGTGGCCCCATAGGGAGCTCCACCGACGGCCCCAGTGCTACCGCCCTCATGCCTCCCCCACACCCAATTTAGATTTTGACCCACCCTTTACAACGCTTCGCAGCCTCATGGGGAGCTCCACCGAAGCCCCCAATGTGACCACCCGCTTGCGTCCCACACCCCTAATTTGGTATTTTCATTCACCCAATGCAGCGTTTCGTGGCCTCATAGGGAGCTCCACCGACGGCCCCAATGCTACCGCCCGCATGCGTTCCCCCCCGCCCAGCGCAGCGCTTCGTGGCCCCATAAAGAGCTTCACCGAAGAAGATATTTACAATTGCGGTACCCACAATTTCATATGGTTGGGTCCTTCGCCTGGATATTTTTTCGCAACGGGCGTTTTCGCTCAATTTCGGGCCCTGGAGCCCTCACAGATCGACCCGTCTCGAAACACGACGCAGAACAATGGGGTCCGGGGTTCCGGGCGTGATTTGTTGCGATGCTGCGTCTTTCTGCAAAGTTGGATCTCAGGGGGATCCGCGCAAGATGGGTGCCCAGACTCCACCCCAGGGCCCTTCCGGGATAGTCTTTCATAACGGAGGGGATTTTGATTGCGCCGCGGCGAGAAAACACTCAGACACCACAAGCGTTGGATTGTCCTGCCGAGAGAGGGAGAGATGTTCCTTCCTCCAGGGGTCCATTCGTCCCCCTGCACCCCGCCAGAGAGGTCGACGCCGTCGATCGCCGATCTTCGTCGTCGATCGTCGATGGTCGTCGTCGCCGTCGTCGCCGTCGCCGTCGCCGTCGATGGTCGCCGTCGATGGTCGCCGTCGTCGTCGTCGTCGTCGTCGTCGTCGTCGTCGTCGTCGTCGTCGCAGCCGATCGCCGATCGCCGACGTCGATCGTCAGCGGTCGATCGTCGAGGGGGCGGGCGCCAGGTCGTGGTGCTCGCCCTGCTGGCGTGCCTGCGGGCGCGGCGGGCGAAGGCCAGGGAGCCCGCGGGCGCAAGCCAGGAGGGGGCGCGGGGGGGGGGAAGGGTCCTCGCACGTGGGGTGGGTGCTCCAGGGGCCGTGGAGCTCCCCTCCTCCCTCCTCCACCTCGCCCTCCTCAGCCTCGGCCTCCTCCTCCCTCCTCCCTCCCCCGCAACCTCGCCCTCCTCCCTCAACCTCGCCCTCCTCCTCGCCCAGCTCGAGCGGTAGGTTGTCGGTGACTGCACGGTGCGGGCGGGTTTTCCCCCTTGTTGCCGTCTGGCTCAGGACCGACCGCTCCGCGCCCGCTATACTACACACCTTCTGTTTTTAGACACCGCTCTATTACATCGCGACAGAAATTTCCATGTCTCGGCATCCGCCGCTCTACATGTCTAGTTGGTAGAAGAGAGGCTCGGCTCCCTTCCACACTCGCCGCCAGGGCCGGCGTGGCACTCCCTCGGCCAGGCGGCTCTGCTCAATATACCGTTCTGCGTTCGCCCTCATGCAGATCTTCCCCTTCGCCAAGGCAGGCGCCGCACATTTCGGGGTCGGCATGGCACCACCCGCCCCACCGCCAGGAATGACGAAGCGGGACGCGTACGCGAACATATCCGAGGACTTCCGCATCGAAGACCGGCCGCCTCCAGCAATCCGTCCAGGGCTCGCCGGGCCTGTGCCTGGGCAGCTCGCAGACCTGCCGCCTCTGGCGCGTCCGCCCGTGGGTGCAGCCTCGGACGTGCAGTTGCTGGGCACAGCTCACATCTGTGGTGCTGGCGAAGGGTCACGAGCTCCCTGCGACGATGTTGCAGGAGCCCTTGGAGGAAGTGGCAACGGACACGACGCCTCCATCACATCCGCCTCTGAGTGTCGCCGAGGGTGTCTGGCGTTGGCGACGCGTCCCAAACTCCTGGCGACGAGATTGCCAGGGCGAGGGGAGACCCAGGCAGAAAAGAGCGGGAAGACACAAGAGGGTCCTATGTTGTCAGCTCCCCGGACGACCACGAAACGAACTTGGGACTATTAGTGTAGGCCCCCCGGAACATGACCTTCAGCATCTTCTACGCATTCATTGCTTCTTGGTATACATGGATCCCGATGTGGACTCCTCTTGACAATCGTACAGCTCGCAGTGTTCAGCACAGCGATAACGTGGCACACAACGAGCACTCCCACGACTATGTTGTGGGATGTTCCCGGTGCCGATCGCGCCACATCTACACGACAGAAGAACATGCCCAATGCGCTGACGAGGAAAAGCATGCCCGCGACGGCTTCGAATCTTTCTACCCCATCCGAACATCGCCGCTGGTGGGTACCAGGACTCCAGCACCTCCTCGATACATGGAGGGGGGCTCCACTCTGGACGGAAGGCCATCGGGGTGGGCATGGTCGCTGCCACCATACGCGTGGCCTGCATGGACGCTGGCGGCTGTGGTGGCGGCAACGTGCGGCACCTCCTCACTTGGGGGCCCGAGCAGCAGGCCCGCGTACCCCATCCAACGCTGGTGTGGGATGTCGTGCTCTGGCCAGTGGCGAACTCCGACCTCAACGACTTCAGCCAAGCGGCCCGTGTCTCGTCTCGCCTCACCGGCATGGCGCGCGAGCGCGCGGACGAGTGGCCGCCAGCGGTCCTGATCCAGGAGGGTCACATCAACGGCGCCCTGGTGCCGCCCATGATTTTCTCGATGCGCAGTCTGGTCGAACGGTGGGCCGGCCAACTCACGGGCGGCCACGAGGGTCCCAGCTACCTCTTGCTGCGCGCGGTGGGCGCGTCGAGCCTTCAGCCCGCCGTGATCTTGCAGCGCTACAAAGAGGCCTGCCCCGCAGACGCTCAGCAGGCAGCGCGCGCGACGGGCCGGCTGCGACGGCTTGGGCGCATGATCGCGGGCTCGCCGGGCAGCTTCGCCTCGGCCGTTCACTCGGCCCTGCGCCGCGCGCTCAGAGTGCCCATGGCGCTGCGGCCAGATCGAGCTGGGATGGCATGGGCCCCGCCGCGGCGGAGGCGGCGCCGAGCCCGCCAGCAGCGCCGGCCGCCGCCGACGCTGGCGCAACAGCAGCGACAGCAGCAGCAGCAGCAGCAGCGCAGGCGGCATGCCGAGCATCAGGTTTCGACTCTGGCGCCGACTCCGCCACCGTCGGCTCGCTCGGCGAGGGGATTGCCGCCGACGGCCCCGAGCTTCGCGAAGTTCCAGTGGAACGACCCGGTTCGCATCTCTTCTGGGCTTCTGAACGCGCCAAGTCCTGATGGCGCCCCGCTTCAACGACAGCGGGCCCGCGCGCCGCGCCCAGAGGGCCATCGGGCGCAAGGGCAGAAGTCGCAGCGAAGGCCACCGCGCCTTCCGGGCCGAAATATCCGACGCCGACCTCCGGGAAGCTTGCGCGGGCTTGGGGAGGGCAAGGGCCTTGAGCGCTGCGAGTGCGACCCCGAGAAGCACCTCGCGCGCGACTGCCTTCGGCGCCTCCAAGAAGGGCGCGCCGTTTTTTTTTTGACGCCCCAGCCTCGGCAGCACCACCGCCGCTACCATTGACGTCCTCGCCGCCTGCGCATCTCGGGCAACGGGGGGGGCGCCTGGGCCAGCCGCTCAGCGGCCCGCGCCGGGCGCGCGCTCTGTATGGTCGGGGGCCCTGGCGACGGCGATCCAGCGCAGAGCGCCGACCCCCCGAGCGGCGGGCGACCGACCCTGGCTGCGGCAGCCGCGCGGCCAGCCGCGGCAGCGGCGCCTAGCGCATTGTCCGACGGTTCTTGGCAGGCAGCGGGCCGCGGCCCTCCGTCGAGCTGGGCGGGGACCTCGACTCCCTCGTCTTCCCCCAGCCCGCGCGAGGCCGAGCTGCGAGGACTGCGTCGGGGACTGGGTGAGATCATGAGCTGCGCGCAGCAAGACTCTGCTCGACCTGCGGATCCGGCAACTGCACCGCTGGCTCGCGCGGCAGTAGCGGGGGGCGCGCCGCCCGCGGAGCCCGCGGCCCCGGCAGCATCAGCAGCTCCGCGCCGCTACTGACGCCGCCGGGCTGAGCCAGAGCGGCCAGCGCCTCGCCGCCGGGGCAAGCTCGAGGGCGCGACTGGGCGAGCGACGCCAGCGCGCGAGTCGACGCACTTGCGACCCCGCCTGCCGACGTGCAGTTGCCGCGCTGGGCTTGCGCGCCATCCGTCTCGGACCCTCGCATCAGCGCGCCGCGTGGATCGAGCTCCATGCGTCTGGCAGCAGTACTACTGCCAGTGCTGGAGTCTCCCAATGACCTGGCCCTACAAAAACCAGAGCGCCCCCGTCGACGCGAGCCAGCCATCTGGGAGAGTGGCCACGTGGTTCGCTGCCCGCGAGTCGTGGATGTCGAGCGGCTGCCGCTTCGAGCGCCGCGTCGGCGCCGCCCCCGACGGCGCGCAACGACGACGCCTCGACGAGCTTCACGACGCACAGTTAGCATTGCAGCTCTTCGGCCAACAGGACACGCAGCGATGCCGGGCCGGGCTGAGTTGGACAGAAGCCCCTGCAAATCCACCTCCCGCGCCGGCTGCGCCGTCCGCTGCGCGCCCCTCCGTTGTTGTATTCGACGTCGACGACGGGGGGCGCCCCATCCCCAGACATCCGACGTTTCGATTTTTTCGAGGCGCGGGCCACCGACCTCCCGACTACTTCCCCGGGGCCGGTTTTTCGCCCCGAGTCGTTGTCTGACGCCCCCGAAGCCCGGCGAGGGCCCCGAGAGGCCAAAAACTATGACAACCTCCGTCTCGATTTGTTTCGAGACGCCCGTCTGTCTCGATGCCGCCGTGCACGGCGAGAGGGTGGTGCGCCTGCAATGCCGCCGCATCCTGCGCAGGGCGCGTCGCTGGCAGCGGATGCGGACGCCGACGCCCACGTGGTGCACTGCCCGGCGCGCCGAGGCCCCGCCGACGTCGTCGCCGACTTCCGTTTCCTTGGCGCCGATCGCGCTGCGTCGGGCCCGATGACGACGCCGTCGGCCCGCGCGGCAGGCGCCCCCGCCGCCCCCGCCGCCCGCGGGCCGCCCGCGCGGCGCCCGGGCGGCCCCCGCCCAATACGCAAAGAAAGGGCGGCGCTGCTCGGCAGCCGTCGGGCTTTGGATGTGTCTTAAGATTCGCCGACGTCATGCAGGGCGACTTCTCGGCGAGCCTGGGGCGCCCGTGGACCGGGCGCCGCGAGGAGCCCGCAAGACGCCCGCCAGGCGCCCGCAAGCCATGCCGCAAAGCACCGGAAATTTGCGTCTGAACGCTGGCCTCGGATGCCTGGCTGCGCTTGGCATTGACATGCAGTGCGATTTCGCGGCGCCGTGCGCCGCCGCGCGATGCGAGCGCGCGCGCCGCCAGGATCGCTGGACACCGAGATTCGCAAATGTGACGGCATTTTTCTTTTTTTGGCAATCCCAATTCCCCTTCGGGGGCGCAGCGCAGCTGCCCCCTCCCCGACCCCGTGCCCGGCCCTAAGAGAGCCCGAGAGAACTCCCAGAGGCCCCCTAATCGATCCAAGAAAGGTCCGAATCGTCTACACAGGCCCAAGACCGCCCCAGGAACCCCCAGGATCGCCCCAGACCGCCCAAGCCCGTCCAAGACGGCCCATGAGGCCCCAGGATCGCCCCAAGACCGCTTCGGACGCCCCCGCGAAGGTATACAGCCCCCAGGGACCCCCAATACGGCCCACGAGGCCTCTTGGGCCTCAGGGGGGGCCTTCGCGAGGCCCTTTCGAGCCCCTCTTGGGCCTCTCCACCGCGGCGTGGGGGCGCTCCCAGAGGGCTTCGGCCGCATTGGCAATGCAGCCGCGCGAGAGGACGCGCGCGTGACTCATCTTTCCATTCTTTGGGGGGCGCTCTTGGGGCCCTCTTTGAGCCCTTCCCAGCCCTTCCTGGAGCCTTCCAACGCGGCCTGGGAGGGCTCGCACAGCAGTGCCAGGTAAGTCACGAGAGAGAATGTTCGCGTGACTTCCCCATCAGTGCTCTCGAGGGCTCTCTGGAGCCATCTTCGGCCCCCCCCGAGCCCTTCCGAGATCCTCTGGGTCCTGCAGCGCGGTCTTGAGGGCTCCCAGAGGGCTCCAATAGCAGCGCAAGTTAAGTCACGCGAGAGAGCGCTTGCGTGACGATGACGACGATGATTTTATGATGGTGATTATGACGACGATGATAGTGATGATGACGACGATGATGGCGATACTGATGGTTATGGTGCTGATGTTGATGCGGATGATTATTGCAACAATGATGTAGAAGTTGAAGAGGAACATGATTATGACGATGAAGGCGAACATGAAGATGATGCTCATGATGCTGATGATGGTGGCGATGATGATGACAATGGTGATGGCGATGAGGATGATGATGGCGATGATGATGAAGATGCTGCTGCTGATCATGCAGATGATGTGGCTGTTGTTGTTGATGATGTTGATGCTGATGCATCTGCTGATGCGGATGCTGGTGGTGTTGATGAGGATAACGATGCTCAGAATGGCGTCTGTGACGATCATGATATTGATGCTGAGAAGTCTTGTGTCTCCTTCTGCTCTTCGATCTCGCGGCCGCAGTCGCTTGTAGAAACACTACCCTGGCATGCGCTAGAACTTGAGCGCGCGCGAAGCGCGCACGATGGCTTCAGTGACTATGTACATGTTCTATATATATATATATATATATATATCGAGAGAGAGAGAGAGCGAGAGAGAGAGAGAGAAAGAGAGAGAGAGAGAGAGAGGCGGGGACAGAGGGATATAGAGAGATATGTTCTAAAACGAATCCAATATATATATATATATATATATATACATATGGATATACTTAGAAAGAAAGACATAAGGGGAACCAACACAGAACAGGCATTACACTATTTACATGTGTATATATAGAGAAAGAGAGAGAGAGAGAGAGAGAGAGAGAGAGATAGAGAGATATATATAGAGAGAGAGGGAAAGCGAGAGAACGAGATGGACAAATCAATAAACAACGTGAGAGAGAGGGGGGGAGAGATAATTCAATCCATATCTATACCTACGTATTTGTACATACACACAACTATAGAGATGATATATATATATATATAGAGAGAGAGAGAGAGAACAAACAAATTAAATAGAGACAGAGAGAGAGAGAGAGAGAGAGAGAGAGAGAGAGAGAGAGAGAGAAAGAGAAAACAACAGAGAGAGAGAGAGAGACAGTTGGCAGAGCCAGAGAGAGAGAGTTGGCAGAGCCTCGACTGCGCGTAGGCGCGACCCTCCGTTAGGGTGACCTCTGCTGCACCGCTTTCGGAGAGGCGCGAAGGGGTCCCAGACCTTGGCGTGCCGTCCGCGCACCAAACCACTCTTGCCCAGGGGGCGCTCCTCCCCCTCCCCCTCCTCCCCCTCCTCCCCCTCCCCCCCCTTCTATCTCCTCCTCCTCCCCATCCTCCTCCTCCTCCTCCTCCTCCTCCTCCTCCTCCTCCTCCTCCTCCTCCTCCTCCTCCTCCTCCTCCTCCTCCTCCTCCTCCCCCTCCTCGTGACGCCGCGAGCGGGCGCGAGCCGCGCAGGGCCGCGAGGGAAGGCCTGCGTGCCGCCGAGCGCCGAGCGAAGGCAGGCGCGAGCGCTCCGCGCGCTGCCCTCGCGGAGCTGGTCGGTGAATGGTCGCTGGGATGGCCTCGGAGAGGAGGAGGAGGAGGAGGGGGAGGAGGAGGAGGAGGAGGAGGAGGAGGAGGAGGAAGAGGAGGAGGAGGAGGGGAGGCCACTTGGGTGGCCTCCACACGATGGAGGATCCGAGGGCACTCCGCTCACTCCTGGCGGCAGGGCGGCGTACGGTCAAAGGGGATCGCAAGGATGAGTACCCAGACATCGGGCGTCTCGAGAAAATCGAGGCGGAGGATTTTCGCAGTGTTCGGCCTCTCGGGGCCCTCGCCGGGCCTCGGGGCCGTCCAAAAACGACTCAGGATGAAAGACCGGTCCCAGGGAGGTCGGGGGCCCGCGTCTCGAAAAAACCGAGACGTCGGATGTCTGGGGAGATCCTGGCGTTGCGATTCTTTTCGCAGCGGGCGTTTTCGCTCCACGTCGGGCCCCGGGGCCCTCACGGATCGATCCGGCTCGGGGAAAATGGGCGCAGAAAGAGGAGGTCCGGGGCTCCGGGCGAGGTCTTCTGCGATGTTGCATTTTTTCGAACGTCGGATCTCAAGGCCATCCGCTCCTCCTGAACACAGCACAGTTTGACTGCGAGCCCAGGGGGGAAGGCAGACGGGGCAGGCGGGCCTTCTCAGAAGGCTCAGAAGTCCTCCAGCCTTTTGAGAAGCTGTTTAGCTCGGGGCCCAAGAGACGGGGGTCACTGCAAACGGGGTCAGTCAGAGCACCAGATCTTGCAGGATCTGGCAGAGCCAGGGTTGCGCTGACCCGGGCTTGGGGGCAGGATCCTTCAGGGTCCTGCAGGATCTTGCAAGATCTTGCAAGACCCGACCGGCCTGGGTTTGGATTGACCCGAATCAGAAGATCCCCGATAATTTTTCTTCGCAGCCACCGCGGGCCTCTCAGAAGGCCAGAGGGCTTCCGAGAAACACCGCCGCCTTCTGAGAAGGCCTGCCCCCCCTCACTCCCCATTTCGGTTTTCGGCGTTGAACTTGGGTCTCCGGCGGCCGTTCGGGACGATCCCGACCCCCGGACGCCTCTCGGCGAAGGCGCGGCTGCTGAAGCACCTCCCGAGGCAGGACAATTTCCAGGAGCCGACGAAAACGTCAGAACGTGAACCCTCCGACGAAAATGTCCAGGAGCGCCGACGAAAACATCAGAACATGAACCCTCCGACGAAAATGTCCAGGAGCCGACGAAAACATCAGAACATTTGGAGACATCAGAACGAAAACGACAAAACACGGACCCCACACATCGGGCGTCTCGAAAAAATCGAGGCGGAGGTTTTTCATAGTTTTCGGTCTCGAGGGGCCCTCGCCGGGCCTCGGGGCCGTCAAAAAACGACTCGGGGTGAAAAACCGGTCCCAGGGAAGTGGTCGGGAGGTCGGGGGCCCGCGTCTCGAAGAAATCGAGACGTCGGATGTCTGGGACCCTCTGGGCGCGCCGGCCGGGCAGAAAGACGAACGGAAGCCGGGGCGGAGGCCGAGGAAGGGCGCGGCAGCAGCGCGGAGCACGAGAACGCGACGCAGCGCCTGCGGACAAGCTAGGGGGGGGCAGTGGGGGACGAGGCAGAGGGAGGAGGGCGACGAGAGGGGGAGGCCGAGGGAGACGAAGGAATGCGAGCGCGAACAGGAGGAGGAGGAGGAGGAGGAGGAGGAGGAGGAGGAGGAGGAGGAGGAGGCGAAGGAGCGTAGGGAGGCGGAGGGGGGGAGGAGGGGGTAGGAGGAGGAGGTGGAGGAGGAGGAGGATGGAGAGGAGGGAGGAGAGGAGGAGGAGGAGGAGGTGGAGGAGAGGTGGGGTGGCGGGAGGCGGAGGAGGAGGGAGGACAGGAGGAGGAGGAGGAGGAGGAGGAGGAGGGGACGGAGGAGGAGGAGGGAGGACGGAGGAGGAGGAGGAGGAGGGGAGGCGGGGAGGAGGCGCCGGAGGTGGGGGGAGGTGGGGGAGGAGGAGGAGGAAGAGGGAGAGAGGAGGAGGTCTGAGGAGGAGGAGGAGGAGGAGGAGGAGGAGGAGGGAGGGAGGAGTGGCCAGGGGAGGGAACGCTCACCCCCCCCGATGCCTGGAGCGGCAGGCCGGCTCCTACCTGGCGTGAGAGGACGCGCGAGGCGCTTCACACGCTCGGCGGCCGCCCTGGTTCGTGGGCGCATTGCAACAGAGGCGCCCGCGGGATGCGGCAGGTCCGCGCCGTGCCGGGGCCCTGCCCCCTGGTTCCTCCACGGGCGGAGGCTTTCCACCCAGACCTCGACCGTCCCGCGTCGTGTCGGGGCCTGAGCGCTGGCTCCTCCACGGGCGGAAGCTTGCCGCCCGGACCTCGACCGTCCCAGAGCTCCGAGGGTCCCCCGAGATCCGACGCACTGAAAGAATCAGCACGGCGGTGTTTCCTACTTTTCGGCCTCGAGGGGCCCTCGCCGGGCCCCGGGGCCGTCAAAGAACGACTCGGGATGGGAAACCGGCCCCGGGGAATGGGTCGGGACTCCTGGGGACCCCGCATCCCAGACCCCCGACGTAATGATTTTTTCATTACGTCGACCTCCAGAGGTCCCGACCCTTTCCCCATGACCGGCTCTGCATCCTGAGTCGTTTTTTGGCGCTCCCGAGGCCCGGCGAGGGCCCCCGGAGGCCGAAAATTAGGAAAAACCTCCCGTCGTGATTTTTTCATTACTCGAGGGGGTCTGGGATTGGAAAAGCCACGACGTCGGATCTCTGGGTCCGCTTCTCTCGCCCGGCGGCGCTTCTTTCCGGGTGCTGGCCCCCGCGTGGCCCGTTGGCGGGCCCCGCGGGGGCCATCAGGGACAGGATCCGGGGCGAGGAGCAGACACGCCCGGGAAGGGGCCGCACCTCTCGGGGAAGCGTCCCAGACCCCCTCGAGTGATGAAAAAATCACGACGGGAGGTTTTTCCGAATTTTCGGCTTCGGGGGCCCTCGCCGGGCCTCGGGAGCGTCAAAAAACGACTCAGGATGCAAAGCCGGTCATGGGGAACGGGTCGGGACCTCTGGGGGTCGACGTAATGAAAAAATCATTACGTCGGGGGTCTGGGGTGAGACTCGAGTAAGCCGGAACTCGCGGGTTTGCCGGCATTTGCTGACGATCGCGTCCTGGAGTTTGACGCTCCGGGTTTCGTGGGATGTTTGCAGCGGGAGTTCGCGTCAACTTTCAGATTGGATCTCGCCGTTCTTTAGGATGGCCCCCTCAGGCCAACCCGAGTCCCCCGTGCCCGAGTCTTACGTCTCCCCGAACCTCTGCGGCCGCAGAGTGAAACAAAAGTCAGATCGGCGGATGTTTGGGAGCGGCCCTGGGCGGTGACTGAACGGCCCTGCCCTGTTCGATCCATGCAGGGCTGGCGCCTTCTCAGAGGCAGCTCCCATACTCCCTCGTGCGCGCCGCCAAGACACCACAGGGATCGATCAACCTTGCACGATCGGCCGCTTCCGAAACCGAAACGTCGGATCGCTCAGCATCGACCGATTCCGATTCATCCTGGAATTAAATCGGTCCTGTCCCCCAACAGGGGGATTTTCGGCGAGACATGGAAAATACCCCCCAAATAGCCCCAAAAAATGCCAAAAATCGTCTGGGGATTATTTTCTGAATCTGTTTTTTACCTTTTGGGGGTATTTTTGGGTTATCTTTTTTTTAACAGTCGAAAAATCCCCCTGTAGGGGGACGCGCCCGACACAAACCAAATAGCCAAAAAATAGTCCAAACATGGTCTGGGGACTATTGTCTGACTTTTGTTGACCTTTTGGGGGTATTTGTGGGGTCTCTTTTTTTTTAAGTCGAAAATCCCCCTGTAGGGGGACGCGCCCGACACAAACCAAATAGCCAAAAAATAGTCCAAACATAGTCTGGGGACTATTGTCTGACTTTAGTTGACCTTTTGGGGGTATTTTTGGGGTTTCTCCTTTTTTAAAAAAGTCGAAAATCTCCCTGTAGGGGGACGCGCCCGACACAAACCAAATGGCCAAAAAATAGTTCAAACATAGTCTGGGGACTATTGTCTGACTTTTATGTGTTGACCTTTTGGGGGTATTTTGGGGGTCTCTCTTTTTTTAAGTCGAAAATCCCCCTGTAGGGGGACGCGCCCGACACAAACCAAATAGCCAAAAAACAGTCCAAACATAGTCTGGGCACTATTGTCTGACTTTTGTTGACCTTTTGGGGGTATTTTTGGGGTCTCTCCTTTTTTTTAAAGTCGAAAATCCCCCTGTAGGGGGACGCGCCCGACACAAACCAAATAGTCAAACAATAGTCCAAACATGGTCTGGGGACTATTGTCTGACTTTGTTTGACCTTTTGGAGGTATTTTTGGGGTCTCTCCTTTTTTTTTAAAGTCGAAAGTCCCCCTGTAGGGGGACGCGCCCGACACAAACCAAATAGCCAAAAAATAGTCCAATCATGGTCTGGGGACTATTGTCTGACTTTTGTTGACCTTTTGGGGGTATTTTGGGGGTCTCTCCTTTTTCTTAAGTCGAACATCCCCCTGTAGGGGGACGCGCCCGACACAAACCAAATAGCCAAAAAATAGTCCAAACATGGTCTGGGGACTATTGTCTGACTTTGTTTGACCTTTTGGGGGTATTTTGGGGGTCTCTCCTTTTTTTTAAGTCGAAAATCCCCCTGTAGGGGGACGCGCCCGACACAAACCAAATAGCCAAAAAATAGTCCAAACATAGTCTGGGGACTATTGTCTGACTTTTGTTGACCTTTTGGGGGTATTTTGGGGGTCTCTCCTTTTTCTTAAGTCGAACATCCCCCTGTAGGGGGACGCGCCCGACACAAACCAAATAGCCAAAAAATAGTCCAAACATGGTCTGGGGACTATTGTCTGACTTTGTTTGACCTTTTGGGGGTATTTTGGGGGTCTCTCCTTTTTTTTAAGTCGAAAATCCCCCTGTAGGGGGACGCGCCCGACACAAACCAAATAGCCAAAAAATAGTCCAAACATAGTCTGGGGACTATTGTCTGACTTTTGTTGACCTTTTGGGGGTATTTTGGGGGTCTCTCCTTTTTCTTAAGTCGAACATCCCCCTGTAGGGGGACGCGCCCGACACAAACCAAATAGCCAAAAAATAGTCCAAACATGGTCTGGGGACTATTGTCTGACTTTGTTTGACCTTTTGGGGGTTATTTTTGGGGTTCTCTTCTTAAACAAAAAACCGAAAATCCCCTGCAGGGGGTCGCGCCCGACACAAACCAAATGGCCAAAAAAATAGTCCAAACATGGGTCTGGGGACTATTGTTGACTTGTATTTGTTGGACCTTTTGGGGGTATTTAATCTATATTTTATTTATATTATATAAATATAATACAACCAAAATCGAAAATCTCCCTTAGGGGGGACGCGACCGACGCAAGCCTGGGCGCTGGCGGCGGAGGCCGCCGCCGGCTCGACGCGACGCGAGCTGCCCGCAGGGGACCGGGTGGCCGCGCGGAGTGGCCGCGCTCTCGGCCTCTGGGCCTCTCGGGGTGGGGGCGGGGGGGCGGGCTGGGGCGCGGTCGCCGGCGAGGGGGAGGGGAGGTGGGGGAGGGGAGGAGGAGGGGGAGGGGGGGAGGAGGGGGAGGGAGCGGGGGGGGGGGGGTTGGGCAGGAGGAGGGGAGGAGGGGAGGTGCGGGCCCCCCCCCCTACAGGCGGAGGCTTCAAAGATAGGAACGAAAGCAGTCTGGGGACGATGTTTGGACCATTTCTGCCCATTGGGGGGCCGTTTTTGTTGGAGTATTGCTATTTTTTTTTTTTCGCCCGAGCCCCCCTGTGGGGGGCCTCGATTTAGAGTCGGGCGTGGCCCCCCTACAGGGGGAGCCTTCAAAGATAGGAAAGAAAGCAGTCTGGGGACGATGTTTTGACCATTTTGGCCCATTGGGGGGCTATTCCCAACCATCCTGTGGTGCTGGGTCCTCGTTTTGAAGAGACGGTGCCCCGCGTCTCCTTCCTCCTCCCCTCCTCCTCCTCCTCCTGATCCTCCTCCTCGCCCTCCTCCTCCTCCTCTTCTTCCTCCTCCTCCTCCTCCTCCTCCTCCCTCCTCCCCCTCCTTGCCTTTGCTCTCCGCATGTCCCTGTTTCGGCACACCCCTCACACGTTTCGTGGCCCCATAGGGGGTTCCACGTAAGGTCCCACTGGCGCAGCCCGCATGGCGGCGCCGGATGGCTACGCCGGCGATTCCAGCAGCAGCGGTGCGGTCACTATTTGAGGAGGACGTGCGCGCGAGGCTACAAGAGTGGTCTCTGGTGTGTCCCTGCTGTGAGAGACTGCCCATGGGGCTGTCGCATGCGGCGCGCACCCTGATGAGCATCAACATCGAGGCTAGTGGGCGCGCCCTTGTGAGATGGGCGGCCAAGAGCGAGCGGGTGGCGAAGCACGTGGCGGACCTCCCAGACGAGCCCCTGATCGAGGACGTCGAGTGGGTGAAGGAGTGGGAGAAGCAGCGCGGCATGCACCGCCAGGAGGCAGGACATTCGCCGGACCAGTTTCGCGAGGAGGCCCGCTTCCTGAAGCGAGACAAGGACCGAGTCGCGATTGCGCGGCGCGCGCTCGCGGGAGGTCGTAGGAGGTTGGGTGCGCGACGCTACTGTTGAAGAACTGGCGGAGGAGTGCGGCGTGTCTTTGTTTTATGTTGGCGTGGACCTGGCTTTCGATTGCCGCTGGGACTTGTCAGACCCCTCTCTGGTTTCACTGTTGCTCGAGATGGTGGGAGAATGTATGATTGGTGTTCTCTTGGGGGCCCCTCCGCGTTCGACGCGGAGTCGCGCCCGCATTCGACCTGGCGGCCCTGGGCCGTTGTGGTTTCCAGATCAGCCTTTGGGGGATAAGGCCTGGCGGAGCCGGAGAGGGCGCGGGTGACGGAAGCCAGCGTCTCGCTTTTCAACTTCTCGGGGCTGCGTGACGCGGTCGAGCAGCGCGGGGGCGCCTGCCTCGTGGATCACCCCGCGGACCCGCCGGAGGGCCCGTTCCCCGGCATCTGGGACCTGGATGCGTTCAAGGGCATACTGAAGCGGCACAACGTGGAGGCGACGAGCATCGACCAGTGCACGTACGAAGTGCCGTCTCAGAAGCCGACCACCTTGGCCTCAAGCCTGGACGGGGTCGGCGACCGGG